ACCCGCAGATCACAATACAGAAATCTTTTCACTCCAAACATGCTTCATAGGACTTAAGTCCGGTGATCGAGCTGCCACTCCATTCGCTGAAGATCGAATCATTCATGATGCGAGCCCTGTGCGGCGTTGCATTATCGCCCTGTAGCATGAAATCATCACCTATCGCATAAGGGCGTACATGAACATCAAAGACATCGTCTCTATACACGCGAGCTTTCACTGTTCCACGAGGAAAGACATGCATGTCTGTGCGTCCACTCAAAGAGATTCCACCTTATACACAGACACTGCCTCCTTGGTATGCATCTTTTTTACGACTGTTTGATGTAGGTGATATCAGGTTCCAGGATCTCTTCAAATTAAACAACGCCTACAATTGCTTTGGAGGATAAACCTGAACTCATCTGTGAAGAGAACAGCCCTCCATTGCTCAATGGACATGTTTCTTCACCCTACTCAAACGTTCTCTTCTATGGCGTGACGTGAGTGTCACGCAAATGGTCGCCTAGCGAACAAACCATGCTCGTGAAGCTTCGACGCACAGGAGACGTTGACACCAATCTCCCGGTGGCTGTTCGGTATGTGTTGGTAAGAGTAGGTATAAAATATAAACTTTATCAAAATATGCCCTGAAGTGTACCCTAAAATATATCTAGAATTCGCGATCGCAACACTCGAATACGCCATCTGGGGAGAGACCGGTTTCATGCCTTTAGCCCTTCTCTCTTCCCTCTCCTCCTCTTTTCAGTTGTATAGGAATGTACAGTGAAACCTGCCAAGTTGACCACCCTTGTAAGTTGGGCACCTGTATAAGTTGACCTCAATTATCAAGAACAGAATTTTTCCTATATAATATAAAGAAGCAAAACCTTTGTAACTTGACCACCTGTCTATCTTGTATGTTGACCACTGAAATAAGTCAATTTTGTCTAGGAGTATTATGAAATTCTATTCTAAAACCCTCATAAGTTGACCAGAAAAAAAAATTCAGAAAATTTTCTGTCATTTTGGCAATGTATGTTAAAATTTCACTTGTTTGGTGAAATAGTGTAAAAAGCTAATCTAAACCCTTTCGTGAGTTGACCAGCAGGGGAAACTGTAAGGGGTCAGCTTTTGACCATTTCTTTCATCCGTTCATTGAAAACAGGCGTGTTAATTGAAAAGTTGCTCTTCCAGTTGCAATAGTGAGCATTTGAATAAACGAATGCTCTGAAATATGCTTTGATCCCTTATTTGTGGTCTTTGATCTTTAAGTGTAGTAAATGAATTTTAAAGTGTTCAAATAATTTTATTTTGTTAAGATTTTCAAATTACATATTTTCGTGTTCTGATATTTTAAATTATACTTATTAAACACTTTGCATGCATAACTAACGAAATAATTTTTTAAAAAAAATTTAGTTAAATATTAGAATTATATGTATCAAATTGAAGTTCATTCAGGCTTAAACACATTTCTTAAGATATCCATTTGTATATTTTCTGAATAAAATTTTTAAGTCAAGTAAAAAAAAAATTAAATATATAGCAACATGATATAGGAAACGAAAAAGTAAACAATGACCCACCCCCTCTATAAGTTGACCACTTGTCTAAGTTGACCATTAAAACAATGCACCACAAGTGGTCAACTTACACAAGTTTTACTGTACTACGATATTTTTTCCTTTTTATTTAATCAAAATATTTTTTAAAATTTCCATTATACTTTTCTTTAGAACTATGTTTAATGCAGTTTTCAGTTTCATAAAGTGTTTCAAGTTGAAAGATTTTAATCTATATGAAAATCAAGAGAGAAACTAACGTACTTCCTTCCTCTATGACTTTCCACACGCTAATGGGGAAAGCATGTGAAGTGTTGCCATAGGAAAAGAATTCTGCTGTACGCCACCTGCAGCCCATTTCGATCGCCAATAAATTTTCAAAAAATTTCGAGTACGGTGGCGAAGTTTAAAATAATTAACCGTGAATTCAGTAAACCAGGGAGAAGGGTCATTCCATTGACTCATTCGACTTTCGAAATTTAAATTGTAGACGGAACTGTTTAGCACTCTTTAGAAAATTTATTTCAAAGCAGCAGTAAAAAAAAAATCGTATTGCATTGATTTTTTAGAAAGTTTGACCAATTATGTATTATTTTTAAATATAAGAGCCATAAAACCATTATCTAACATAAAACTTATTTTAATATTGCTTTAAGTATTTAAATTTAATATACTGTTTCACTAAATGCATAATCCAAAATGGAAAATAAAAATTTTCTTAACTTCAAAAAAATATGGTCCTGCATTGGACTGATCGTAAGGACACTGTTCCTAGTAGAACACCGAAGTGAAGCATCACTGGTTGCGGTCAGTAAGCGGGTGGGTGACCATTTTGATCAGCCAGCGTAGGGACCGAGGGTGCGTAGTATCAGACCTTTGTTTAACTGTTCTGCCGTAAAGTGTTCTACTTTACGTGCAGGTCGTCATGCTATCAAAGCAGGGAGCCATCCCGTCTTCGATCATCTTCAGGAATGTTTCCCAGACCGTCGCCAATGCTCATTGCGTAGCTCTAGTACGACATAAATAAAGTACCTACTTACCTAAAAAAATAAGATGCAAATAAATGTTTAATTAAGCCGCGTGTCGTTCACATCTGCCGAGCCTTGAAAATGGCAACGTTTGAAGCAAAAGATATAGCCCTCAAAAATAGGCATCCATTTTCAAGACTCACCAGACGTAAATGAGGAAAATAAATGAGATTTGAAACAAAAAAAATGGTTGGTTGCCAACAAAAAATAAGAGTGAAAAAAAAACTAGAAAAACAGTGATAGCTAAGTGTGAAAAAAAAAGGAATACCTTACCAGTGCAGCCTTAGCTACACTCGACAAACCAGACGCGCTTTAAAATATAGACTAAAGATTAGTCAGTTATCAAGAATGCGATAAATCATGCATTGCTGTCCATTCTTGGGGATAAATTCAATTTCAATACTGCCAAAATTCATAGCACCGCACTACTGTCACATCAACTGATCTTGCTGCCCCAGAAATATTTTTGTTCGTATGAATGGTGCTTCCCTTGTTAAGGACATGAATTCCTTACCATCTCTCCATAGAGAATGGAAATGCATTTTGCTTCTCTCGGCTACTTTTTTTTTTAATACTTTTGTTTTTACCTTCATAATATTTTTTCTCCCTCTCAGACATTGTGCAGCTTTAGAGCAACGTAAATAAAGTACCTACCTCTCTTGAATACTGCAGCTTTATCTTTCGTTGGTAACTTCATATTTCCAATCCGAAATCTCTTGTTTGCCTGGCGAATCTTTCAAAACATGTCAAGTTTTATTACTATATTCATATTTTTTTAAACCATTGAAGTTTTTACAGTCAATTATAGTGTTACATTCGAGTCTTAATCATTATTTTGATCAGGATCTTATGAGTGTGAGCTACAAACAAAATGACAATCAGACGTTCCATTGATCACCGCCGCCGATAAGCAGACATTACTAGTCAAAGTTCGTAAGTTTTGCTTACATTTCAAGTTTTTATACCTATTTGGGTGAAAGCGTGGTTTACCACTAGGAAGTGGAATTCTACAGGGGAAAAAAAGATCATAGTTGGGACTGAAAACAGTGTTTTTTAAAATATAATTGTTTGAATTATAATCACATTTGAGTTTAAATTGATATAATAAAAATTATTGGAACTAAGATGTACTTATAATTCTGTTTCTCCTTTTTTTGTAAGTCTGAAATAAAATAAAAGTTTTTAATTAAAAAAAAAAAAATTATAACACTTAAGAAAAGTTTGAAAAAGAGGTAATTAAGAAACATATTATAATGGCAAGGGCAATAAACTATTAAAAAGGTATTTTATAAAAAGGATATTTCTTAAAGGAATATTTTCAAGACTTTTAAAACTAAAGAAAAATGCATCTATTGCAAAAATATTTTTTCAATTAGTCGTTTATTTGTAATAGAAAAATTAATATAATTTTATGAGTGACCATAGAAAATAACTAATAAATGAAATTATTTGTTATTAATAAATTAAGGAAATTTACTTTGCTTTACTTGATAGAATACTCGAAAGACTGATAGATTAAATGATAATATGCTAACTTTCAAACTAGGTAAACTTTAAAAAAGAGAGCAAATTACAAGCAAAATGATGAAAATTTTAGCTATTTGGAATTCTAGATATAGTAAGAATCTCTCCTCTTATTCTTAGTAAGGAAGAGTTGCTCCTTCCCATGCATTTTTATAAGGAAAAAGAAGAATTATGCATCGCTACATTTAAAACGAACAAATAGAAAGTCAGATGTCCTGTTTCTTCTTTCTTATTCGAAGTAAATTATAAACCTCTTCCCAAAACTGATATAATTTTATAGATGAACAACAAATAATAATTTTTATTAAACAAATAAGAATTTTATTAAATTATATTTTATTATATTATTTGAAAAAAAAAAACTAACTAAATTTTATTAAATAAATAAACAATAAGTATTACACATAAAAAAATCTTATGGAAAAGTAACTATCTCAATATAATAAAGTGANTGGGGGGGGGGGGGGATATTAAAAGTCATGCATTTCTCTGGATACCACACCACCGCTTTTTATTTTGCATAGAATCATTCTATAAGTAATAAACATCTATTTAGTGGGGAAAAAATCATTTAATCCAGCCAAACACTTAGCTTGGTAGATTAGGAGTAAATTTCTCTTCACAGATTATATATAAGAAAAGAGGGTTTTATCCATATTAATGAAATGATGCTTAGGCAAGTGGTATAAAAATGTATGCTTTGTTGCAATTTTAGTGTTTGTTTCTATAGGAAAATTGTCAATTACTTTGCCTTCTAATCAAAATCAACTTTTTAAAAAAGGTGTAACACATAATTTCAGTACAATACTGACACTTAAAAATTTAAAGGCATAAATGAAATATTCTTAGTTTTAGAAGCTTTAAATGTATTTTATGTTCTTGATAAAAGAAGGAAAAAGACAAATAATAGGCACAAACCGTTTATTTAAAATAAGAAATACAAATAAAACCATTAATACTAAAAATCAGATCACAAGCTAAATAAATTTTTTAAAAAATAACTTTTTGTAAAGTTTTCCCATATAAAGTAGTATCTCATAAATGCAAAATATGGACGGATGATGGGGAAAACATTGAAATTTAGAAAATTGAAAATATTCAAAGTCGTTTGTGGCGAAACTAATTTTGTAAAAAGAAAACTAGAATCGTCAATAGAATTTTTTGAGTACTTTCAATTCTATCTAAATCCAATTTATTTCCTGAGATATAAAAAAAAAAAGGTGATGGAATGCAAAAGAATAAGCAAAATATGTACAAATCATATTTATGAATCTAATATTTCATATGTATGAAATATAAACACATGATAAATGAATGAATTTGCGGAATAAAAAGTTTTATTTTTAGGAATGTTAATATGCATTTCAATGAAAGATTTGTTAAATGTAAAACTATTTACATTTTAAAGAGAGATGATTGAGAATCCAAATAATTTTTCATATTTTTAAAATATCGTGAAACATAATTCCTGAGTTACAGCATGGGTGCCACTCTAAAAATATTTTAAGACTGAACTTATTTTTTGACGAATTGACACTATCTAGAGTTGCTTACTAAAATTTTCAGAAGTTTATAGCTCACCTTCTCCAAAATGTACCTTTCTATGATAGGGGATCATATATTAAATCAATTATCTAGTTTTTTTCTACATTTTAATTAATTAATTTTTTTACAGCAAACAAGATAAAAATAACAGTTAACCATGTATATCTTTTTACATCAATCACTGGATAATAAACCACAGATTTTTTTCATGAAGGTACCTACTTATTTTTCACTTCACCGTTATTGATTTTTTGTCCTATCTCAATAATTTTTTTTAAAGAAAAAGAAATATTAATAATTATTATAATATTAATCTTAATTTAATTTTGATTAGCATTTCAAAACACTTAAGAAAATAAGAACAAGAAAATTCAGATACAACAATAGTACAAATTTAGTTTAAGCAAGCAGGCAATGAAGTTCAATCTCATTCTTCCATTACTGAGTTACATCATTTCCCAACAATGATGAAAATTAACAATGCTTACTTTAAAATGTTATTTTTACTTAACAGAAAACATTTGTTACATTTTTATGGAAAAACAGAAATTTTAATATCAATAACAAATGAAAAAGAGATTAATTTATGAAACTTAATCTACCGATTTTCTCTCAAGACTGAAGAGTGGCACCCATGTTTACAGTGAGTACAAATTAGATATTTCCTGGAATTGAATAAAACTAAAATTTGAAATTTAAAATATTTAATTCAAAAAATAAGATTTTTATATTAAAAAGCAAGAGTTAAATTTAGGTAACTTTTTTTTATATTTATTTTATACAAACAAAAACTATTCATTTATCCAAAAAATAAAAAAAATTTGAAAAGTTAAATGTATATCATTTGATAAAATTTGCATTTAGTTACAGAAATATTTTGATTTATAGCTCATTCTTAGAATAATTCAAATCACTGGATATATAAGGCAGCCAGGAAAAATTATATACATAGTTGCATGACGATAAAAAAAATAAAAATAAAGAGTAAATAAAAAATTTATCACCAGGAATTTTGCTGTAACATAGATAATATATTACTCATAGCACATTATAGTATTTGAATTTTTTTAACATCAACAGAAATTGTTTAGATATGTATATCAAAAAATATTTTTAAACAATTGCACAAATTACTTAGAATACATGATGCTCTTGTAAAATATGAGAATTGATATCTTCTAAAATGATATAGCAATTGAAGCAAGTCCTAAATACAGATTCTGACATCAGAATATTACATCATGACAATTTTTGTTTCAATATGATCAGCTTTTTTTCCTTTAACAATTAAACAAGGCAAACATGATTGATATGGCGAGACTCAAAATAGATCAATCTGCCAAGGGTTGCATTGAAATTATAAGAATGGTTTACTTCAATCGAGAATTAAAAAATTACTGATAATGACTTGATCAACAAAATGTGTATAATATGCAATCTTTAGTAACGAGGTTGCATGTTATACACAAGATTGCTGGATCGTTTCCTGTACTCTTGAGCTTTCTTTGTATCAGCATACAAATAAAAAGCAGAGAACATGTGAAAGAACATTGAAACAACAGCTAGGCCATAACCCCAGGACAAATGGTTGAAGGATGGATACTGAAGCCAAGATCTGTCATAGCACATTCCTCCAAACACACTGACTCCAAGAAACATTATGACAGCTGGAAAATATTAGAAAAAAAAATAGGCTTCATTAAAAATGTAAAATTTTTTTTAAAATTTTTATTTCCAATGGTGGGGAAAAATATCAAATACAACAAAGGAGAACAACAAACATCAGAAGAAATCACAAGGAAGTAAAACAAGTAAAAGAGTAAAACACACAAACAAGCAAAAAAAAAATAAACCCAAAGTCATTTCCCCAGAAGCTCTCTCATGCCAATATTTAGCAGTATCGGAGTCAGGTCCGTGAAGTGACCTACAGCGATGGAGATGTTTTCGGGTCAAAGGTTCCCTAGAGTCCACATAGTCGACAGTGGATGCTCATACTATGTAAGCGATATAAGTGTTCTCCCAGGTTGTTAGGAGACGAGAGGACTACAGCATCTCGACGAGGTTTGTTGGGCAGTGTCTCTAAATCTGCCTTACTCCAGTTCTTATTCTTAATACTATCTCGTTGCCAAGAAGAGGTATTTATTTTCATTATGTATTTTAAATATAATGTAAAAAAGTTTGTGTAGAATACTGAATTTATCCCTTTTGATTAAAAATCATTAGCTTAAAAGTATACAAATATTTAACCAATTTAAAATTCTTTTTTTAAGCAAACTTATATTTTGAACTTAACTAAAGAACAATCAATGTGCATATGACCAATAAAACTTTTTATCCTAACAGCAAAGAAAAATTTCACTTAAATTTTTACTCAGGTAAAAATTTTATTTTAGGTCTTTTTTTTTAATCACCTATATTTATGAAATTTCTATAATACTTAAATACTTTTTAAAAAGAAACAAAATTCTTACTTCTGACAATTTTTTTAAATAAAAACTGACAAAAAAATTTAAATTACAAAATTTCGACTATGTTATATTATAATAACTTCTTTACAAATATAACTTAAAGCTATTGTACAGATATTTTAAACTATTCAATTCTTAATAAGAGTGGAAAAGGAGCACACAAATGAGTAATCAACTTACAATTAAAGAAAAATTCAAAATGTACTCAAAATTACCCCCCCCCTTTTTTTTAAGCTTTTTAATGTTACTCTATCAAGTTAATATCTTGATATTGTAAATCTATACACTTGTAATTTCTAAAAAAAATTATCCTAATGATATTAATAGCAATCAAAAATGTCCTCTTAGCTTTAAAATTTTGCACACTTAATACTACTAATGTTTTTATAGTCAAATAATAATGCTCTTTTATTATTTGAAATCTTTCAAAAAAGGAACTAAACTTGTAATAATTTAACCAAATAAATTAAACACATTGAAAGTTTTTCAAATATTAAAGACCCTAAGGTAATTTACTGTCCCCTTCAAGTGCATTCCATGTAGGTACTGTAATTACACAATAGTTTTTGTCAAATGAATGAACAACTGCAGTAGGGAACCGATTATCCGGAATGGGCCGGGACCATCGCTATTCCGGATAATTGATTTTTTCGGTTTTCTGAATCACTACAAAAAGCCGTTTTTTTAATTGTTAAACCCAACTAAAAAAAAAATAATTTGGAAATAATCTTAAAAATAAGATTAAACGATGAAGTAATACACTAACAATTATTTCCAAAATGATGGTAAGGTAAACATCTTTAAACAAAGAAAGAAAAATCGTAAAATCTTATTAGGAAAAAAAAGAAAAAAGTTCTTTTAAAAATAGTGAGAAAATGCGTCGAATTTCGTTACGATTTTTTGGTTTTCCGATTTCCGGATAACGGGTTCTGTACTGTATTTATTTACTTTAAACTATCTATAGTTTATAAAGGTAAGTTATTACATTTTGAACAAATCAAATCTTTTTTATTTGTTTGCAATTTATTCGTAGAAAATCAAAGAACAGTAATTAAACTAAAAAAAGTCACTCACAGGTTTTTTTAGGGGAATCTGAACTCATTTACCCAAACAGAAATGGTACTGCAATTAAATTTTACTGTTCTGTAGAGAAGAGAGTTCTTTGTAACCTATTAGTAATATTTTACTTAACTAGAGCCATCTATATTGTTTTATAGACACTTTTCGCCATTGGGACAGTAATTAAACGAAAATTACAACCAACAGAATTAACTTACAGAATGGTGTGTAAAACAAAATATATAAATTATTCTAAGAATTTTGATTATACATACTCAAATCAGTGTTTTCATTACAGAGCGAGAACGCGAGAATCTCGCATATTTTTCCCTTTCTCGCAATAAGAAATGATAAACGCGAGAAGTTCCCGCACTCTATTAATCAATTTCAAAATGCGCGAATTTTGGAAAAAATTTCGTCTTTTGCCATTTTTAATAAAATCTGTTTCACTTTTCTTCCTTGATATTTCATTATTTTGAACATCGGTCCTTGCTATCTAGCTTCCCTATTTACCAGTATTGTTCAGAACTGGTGCGAACAGCAGAACCCCTTTCTCTGCAGCCACGTGTTCACCGTGGGTTAGGTTTATTCATGTAAGACGTTTAAATTTTTTGTGCATGAAAGTAAGATGGACAAATACCTTGTTAAGGCAGCATCTTCTACTCCGTAGCGGACAAATGAAAATGAAACAAATGTCTGTAGAAACGGTCAAATCGAAACAAATATGGATATTTTTCAGTCAAATAAATGTAATAGCTGATGAAAAAGTAGATATTGAATGTTTTCCAAGTAGCAGCAAATGATGCAGCAAAAATATTCAATTAGAAGATGTTAAAAATGTATTATAATTAAAGAAATAATTTTTTTCCAAGTCTACTCGTGTTTTTTTAATTTTTAGAAATCTCACCCTGTTTTCGAGAAAGGGTGAGAAATTCTCTCCCATTTTTTTTCTGTAATGAAAACACTGCAAATAGACAATAATACTATATCAAAACATGCATTTACTTCTGTGACACTTTCATACTATAGTTAGTTACTAAAAAAGTTCAGAAATATGTGTTTAGGACAAAAAATAAAAATGACACTTAACCTACTTTTATTCTTTTAAAAATATAATTTAAATGTAAAATGCATCAGATGCATGTTTTTTTTTAACGCCTTGGGATTATTTTAATTAAAACATACCATTAAATAATGTAAAAAAATATTTTAATAAGAAATATTGATTAAGAAAACAAAAGTTAATGAATTGAAATACTACAAATCAACATTACAAAATCATGCACAAAACTGAAAGACACATGCCAAAACAATTAATTAAGCTAAAACAATTGAACATTTTATTATTTTAATACTTTTTTGCCCTTCCCGGTAGCTTTATGTTATCGGATGAAGGAAAAAAAAGTGATTTTTTTATGGTTTTTCTGGACAAATAAGTGACTTTTAACCATTAATTTAGAATTACAATGCAAAACTTTTTATTAAAATTTCAATTCGTACTTATTAGAATTAAATAATTGTAGTTCTCAAAAATAGTTAGTAACGACACTAATATTATTTTTATAATAATTTTTGGTGAATGAAATATAACTCTGTGAAATGTTGTAAAATATAGCCAAACTATAATAGATTTTATATAAAATATAATTTCATATATTTTTTAAAATAAGAACTTGGAAACACCATCATAATGCATTGTGAAATTATTAAGTTTGATTTTACTTATGATAACCTAACATATGAAGATGATGATAAATAATTTATAAGAACTTGTGATAAAACTAATTTCAGATTGATTAGAGCTGCAATAGCAAATCGCTTTTTCACAAAATATTTATCAAATCTTATGGATTTATCAGATCTTACTCATTCTTTTGGATGTGGCATTGTCAGAGGTAGTTTTACAGGAGGGAGTAATGTACGCTGTGTTTTCAAACCAATTTATACTAAATTTGATCAGTCCAGAATCGTGGATTTGTAGATGGAACATACATATAAATATATATATTATTACAAAAAATGATTGATTATAGAATCTTACATATAATGGATTCACATATGAAGGCAGCAGCTATCAGAAACACTTCAAATTTCATCAAGAACCGCATTAGAACAAGGCTAGTGAATGACAGAGACATCAAAGAAAAAATGACAGCCAACGACATTACTGCTTGAACAAATATTAGCCAGGCTGGAGAGAAAAAAAGATGTCATTAACAAATATTTACTTCTCACTTAAATAATTTTTCAAATCTATTGGTAAATTGATATAGTTTTTTAGATTGTATTATAAAAAGCCGATAACATTTAATTACAACATTGAATATAACTCACCACATTTTAATTAACTATATTTGTTTTGAAGATGTTACATTCGCCTAATTATTTATACTGTTTTTTAAAGCTTGTTAAATAAAGAATTAAATGTTTAATAGAGTACAATTAATATATCTTTTTTTAAAAATAACCAAAATTCTGATTTTTTTTTTTTTTTTTTAAAAGAATAATTTATCTAAAAAAGAATTTTGTATATTTCGGATTTCCACAAAAACTTTCCTTGAAAATAGTAGCTTTAGAAGTCTAATAGAAGCTTATATAAAAAAAATTGTAGTCTAAATAATCTCTTTAGAGGAATAATTAAGATTCTATTTTCATCCATGTAGTGATTTTAGAACAATTATTATAATAAACCAATTAAAAAAATCATTTCATGTTACAACTCAATTGTACAATACAAAAATTTAAAATCTTGCTAGATTAGACTATTTACTATTTCCATTATTCTGTTAAAAGCAGAACAATGTTTTTTCTTCCTCCTTTTGTTCACATAAAAATATCATGAATAAAAAAAGCAAATCCAAGGTAAATAAATTTATTTTGATTCTGAAAAAAAAAAAAAAAAACCCAATAGCAACTGTAAATTATAAGCATGATTAAATTAAATAATTGATCAAGATTCAAAGTAAGATAAATCATAAAAAAGTTCAAAAATAAAAAAAAATAAATACTGATTGAGTGATAAATAACTTTAAAGATCTGATTTGGAGATCATGNTGAAAAAAAAAAAAAAAAAAAAACCCAATAGCAACTGTAAATTAAATGCATGATTAAATTAAAAAATTGATCAAGATTCAAAGTAAGATAAATCATAAAAAGTTCAAAAAGAAAAAAAAAATACTGATTGAGTGATAAATAACTTTAAAGATCTGATTTGGAGATCATGAAAAAAATATAACTTTACAATATTCTGCTTAGATTTTACTAATATTATAACCTTAAAATGAAGAATTAGTTCTAGTTATTTAACTGTAAATAACATCAAACTTTTACAAAAATAAAATTAATTCAAAATAAAACGTCTAAAATTAATAAAAAATACATAGCTTTAAGAAAATTTGTAACAAACTGTTTTTTATTTTTTAGAAAAGTTCATCTTTGGACAAAATATTTGATAAAATAAAAATAATATAAGTTCACATAATTAACTAGATATAAGAGAACAAATTTATTTAGGAAGATAACAACCACAAAACAGGGTTGGGTTTTTGCCGTCGAAAACTGGTTTTTGACATGACAGTGGTAAAAACCGTGGTTTTACCGGTAAAAACCGTCAAAAACCTACTGTTTTCTTTAATTTATGGCATATAGCGGACAATATATTATTTTCCCATAATTGCCTTTATAAATGAATGTAGTAAATGATTGCTATTGATTTTGCAACTATATGCATGAATTCTTATAGAAGGATATACATTCATATAGAAATATTGTAATATACTTATTGAAAATAGTGATACTTACTTTTATCATTATAGCTTGATTTGCAAAGGATTCAAAATTTTGCACTTCTTAATTGTTAGAAATAAACAAACAAACAAAAAAGCTTGGAACTATTAATAAATTCAAGAACTAAAAAGAAGAATTTAAAATTTGGCATTTCTTAAATATTAGAAATAAGCTAAACAAAACTTTCAAAACTTGTAACTACTAACAAACTCCTAAGTCAAGAACGACTTGAAATTCTTCAGTAATGTAATATGCCAAACGAAATGATACTTGGAAATGTTGAAAATTTTGTTTAGTATCCTAATATTTTACTTCAAATAGTATGTTTTGATATAATCATGTTGGGAAAATGCAGGAATCTGTTCTTAAATATCTCTTAACAGCTTTTTTTCTAATTTTATTGCCCAAAAATGAATTAATTTTAAATTATAAGCAGTTAAACTCAAATAAAAATACAGTTTTACCAAAACTATGGGTTTTTGACATGACGGTAAAAACTATGGTATAAACCGGTAAAAACCGTCATGCGTCAAAAACTTGCCAACCCTGCCACAAAATTTCAAATTCAAAATAAACTACATTGGTAACCTAATCACTTATTTTTAATTTTTATTTCCAACCTATAATTCTAAAACCTTGGGAGAAAATATAAAATGCATCTTAAAATTTGAGGAAACTAACCTGGCTGCATCCAATCTCGTATATTTTGGTATTTATAGCTAAATACCCAGTGACAACCATCAAACAATTCATCATACTGATAAGATGGATGCCTGTAATTTTTGAAACAGAAGTTCCATAAGCCCATCCGCACAAATTCAGAATAGGTTCTGGAATATGATTCCAACCAATATGGGCTGCAGAAAGAAATGAAGAGAATCAATGATGCAAAAAAAGCGAAGATGCTACCTAGGAGTAGGTATGACGATGATCTGGGTTTCGGCGGAGGCGTCTCAACCATGATGAAGCAGTGTTATGGTAAATTTACCCTGGTAATCCTATAAAACAATAATTAGTTAATAGAAAAAATAGTTTTAAAAACATTTTTAAAAACAGTTTACATTTATCAGCCTAAAATTCTGATTGCACAAATTCACAAAAATAAGATTAATTTACAGAAGTTGCGCATTCTAAAAATATATTGTGTTTCGAACATTATATTACAGAAATACATATGAGCAGCTTCTTAAGCAAAACTTTTAATTATTAAAGAAGAAGGGAGCTAAGATTAAAATGCATGCAATTTCTATGTAATAAAATTGAAGAATAAAGTTACATAAAGAAAGTTAGCAAAAGGAAATTAAATAACCATAAAAAAAACATCATCTTGTCTTCTTCACAACTTTGAAANACCTTGAACCAGGGCTCGAAAAAACTCAGAAATGTTACCCGTCCCCGAGGACGGCTTGTCCAACAACGTACTCGTCCTCCTTTGAAATTAACCCGTAGCTTCTAAATAAATAAAAATATAATTTTCTCTTATTTACTACTAACATTTATATAAATTACACAATGAATTAGTAGTTACGAGGATTACAAATACTAGGATTGCATTATACAGTAATAAATGAAATATACTAAGTTATTAATAGTAATCTAGTATTTCTTTTATGAAATAATTTAATGACAAAGGCCAAGTTATCTGGAATGTCAATTTATCCGAGGGTACAGAGTTTTTTAAATGAATCAAATATGACGTTTGCCAGTTCCACAATCAAGCCAATGATTTTTGGAGGTTTCTGCACAGAAATCTGAAGGGGGTTTTCCATTTAGGTAGATGTTCATAATTGCTTTTAAAGCTTCTTGTTTAAGAACAGTACATAATGTGTTTTTTTGTAAGTTCATCGCTGAAAAGCCTATTTTAACCGCTGCAGTACTCCCAGACAGAGAAAACATCTATTCCACCAATCGCTGTATGTTGCTGTATTGCGGGTCATTTTGTTGCATTAGGTCTTTATGAATAGCTTGGGCTAGGAGGGCTGAAGATTTCTGGTGCTTAACGATGTTATGTATCTTGAATTTAATGACAACCATTAAAATTTAAGATATATTCCAACAAAAATTTAAAATATACCACGAACATTAACGGGAAAAGGGCCGTCCGCGAGGACGTCGGATTCGAGAAATTCGTTGTCCGCGGGCAAATTTTGACCGCCGAGGACGGGAGGTTTTTCGAGCCCTGATAAATTTACAGAAGTTGCGTATTCTAAAAATATATTGTGTTTCGAACATAATATTACAGAAAAACATTTGAGCAGCTTCTTAAGTAAAATTTTTAATTATTAAAGAAGGGAGCTAAGATTAAAATGCATGCAATTTCTATGTAATAAAATTGAAGAATAAAGTTGCATAAAGAAAGTTAGCAAAAGGAAATTAAATAATCATAAAAAAAAAACATCATCTTGTCTTCCTCACAACTTTGAAATCATTTAAGAAAAAACTTTTTTCAATTGAGTATATGATGAAGGAAGCAAATCTTCAACTATTACCACTAGGATGATTTTATTAAGAAAAGCTAGTTATCACCACCACCAAAAAAAAACAAATTTTTACAGGGAATTACTTTTGGAAAAGTGAAGTGTGACACGGACAATTGATTGGGTAAATTAAAAAAGAAAAAAACATTTCTTAATTTTTTAAAAGAATTCATCTTTTCCTAATCAACCATCGTCGTTATTTCAGTATCCTGATCTGTCTTGGCAACAATCGCCCAGGTGTCAAATAGATTTTATACTTGCAATTTTTTTTTAATTGCCCGCAGGAAGCTACGAGTTATACCTCTCGAATTAGTCCCTTTTCATGAAGTTTTTTTATAATAAGTAATACATTTTGAGTTGGTCCCTTTCTATGATGTTTTTTTTAAGTTTTTTGAGAGCCATTGCCAAGAGTTTTAGATTAATCTGCCATAGATCACAATATGGTTATCTCCCTTCATACCATCTATTATCCAGGTTGAAAATTTAAATTCACAGGCAATTTAAAACAATTCTTAAAATTGTGTGTTAAAACCTGATAAAAGTTATAAGAGAGAGAAATATTTTTGTTTGAGTAATAACCTTTTGAGATTTATTGATCAAAAATTTAATCACTAAAGGAGTGTCACTCGGATGTAATTGCAAATTTTAAGAGCTTAATTGAGCAATTATAAGAAAAAGTAAGACTTTAGGCTTTATCACATTACAATAATAAAAAAAGAGCTATGGAACCCTCAAACAGTATTTTATTTATCATAGATATGTTATATTAGTGTGCTAACAACTATATGAAATTAATTTATCAAAGAAACATAAAACAAAACTAGTAAGGGAGCATTTTTACGTTAAAATTATATGATCTATGATATGCACAATATTTCTTATTCAAATTTTTATAATAAGAGGGCAAAATTAAGTTAATTTAAAATATTTAATTTCGTTTAGAGAAACATTTTCTGTTCTATGAATAAATTAAGAGGAAAATGAAATTTTTTTGATAAAGTACAAAAAAGTTTAGAAACATTTTCTTTATGTAGATGATAGGTTTAATTTAAATAATAGTAATATTTTAACCTAATTAATTGATTGATAAATAATTACACTTTGACACACCCAAATCAACATACCACACGCAAAAAGTAAATAAACAGTCCATGCGTTTCGGTCACAGGTAAAGAAAAATGTTAACCGTTCTTGTTGCTTATCTATACAAAGAAAGTTATAAGCTCAATCTATTGTTTAGTAATAAGCTTCGAAAATGAGTTTGGTCAACATGAGTAGTATTTTTATGCTGATGACTATGCTATGATTATGAAATGAAATTATGAATTAAGGGTGCAAGTATTTGTAAAATTGTTAAATGTTTTCATTTTTTAATAAAAGCTTTATTTTATAAATACACATGATTGTTGAGAAAAAAATAATAGTGTTTTTATTCATTCTTCTCGTTTTATGTATTGGTGGTATTGGCGTCAGAAATTCAAGAAAAAGTTAGTTTTTTATTAATCTCTTTAACTGTTTTATTGCTATTACAGTCAAAAAAATTCTTTGATTTACCAATAAAAAATTTTTCTTGCAACTTTGTGGATCAAATAGTTCATAGTTCAATAGTTTTCTTGAAGAGGTCAATTTTCAATTCAGAGATAAGCTTTCTCTCAATATCTTATCAAAATCTTGTTGATATGAATAGGAAAGTATGCGTTTTTAAATGTTGTCTTAAATTATTTTAAAATATTGTCAGCACTAATTAATTAGCATATTTAAGGTTACCCTCTCGAACTATTGAGATTTAACCCTAGATCGATCAAAAGTTATTCAGGAAGATCCTTTGTTTGTTTTTTTGGCTTACGGTACATAATGTAAGGACACATTTTTAATGATTTAAATCAATTCTGAGGTTCTAAATGCTGTTCTCAGAAAACTCATGTGAGTTGTAACTTAGTATTTGCATGAGTGAAGCAAGTGAAACATAGTCATGGTGCATAGCGTTTTTAAGAAGTGCTTAAAGGTGCTTATTTTTGATTTTCGTGTTTCAAAAGCCCTTAAAGGTGCTTTTTTAATGGATGTTTTTAAAAAGTGGTTAATTTTCCCTTTTCCCCTTCGCCACATATTGTGCAAAAGCATGCTTTTCACATTGTTCTATTTAATGTTATGCACTATTCATTCAACCACAATCTATTTCGGTGTTCCGCTGGTCCATAGCGTATAAGAACATGAATAATTTTACATGTTTGATGAAATACTTGCGAGTCCGCATATGCATATACTGACCTGGATTCGGTGAGATTCTTGCACTCTCGTGCAAATCTGTTGCATTTTGCAAAATAATCTCAATTTCAGGCTTCTTTTACCTTCCTCTGATATTGAACTGAAAATTCTCTTGATGATTTTATAATAGCCAATATAATCAAGACAAAGCATTCTTTGTGAGAAACTGGTTATTTTATCATGATTATCTAAGGCATTTGAAAATTATTTTGCATTTTGTTAATATATCTTGTGCTTAAAGATATTTTTTGAGTGCTTGAAAAGTACTTAATAGGTGCTTGTTTTTTGTTAAAAGATTTGGCAATGCACCCTGATAGTCTAATTGCTAATAGAATTTGAATTGAAAATCTGTATCTTTGCCATTAGGTTTCACTGCTGTTCTTAAAGTTATATTTGTCGCAGTTATTTTATTTATAATAAATATATATGTTTAATTACAGATAGCCTACTTCCTCTCAGCTCTTCCCATGCATTACGGCATTCAGCTAAGAGACACATGTTAGCTCATGTGGATAATGTTGATAATACTTCAATTTCACTTGATTATATAAAACTTCATGCTGATTCTTTAGTACATGGTGGATTTGAGAAAGCCGATAGCAATCATACTACAACTGCAAGTCTCACTACAGATGGTGGTTCAGATAGTTGTCATATAATTGGTCCGTGTCATTCACTACTAGCAAATTGCATCAAATGTCCAGCATTAAGCAATGATTGTGTTTATGGGGAGAATGTAAATGTTACTTGTGAAGCTAAAAGTTATGCAAGGTGCCAGGTACAAAAAAGAATTATAATAAATATACTATAATATAATGTGATATATGTTTATATAATGAGGTATGTATTCATATATACCAAGATCAGAATAATATATTATTCTGTATTAAAACTCTTGAACTTTGAATAAACAATTAGATTATTTTCAAAAGACTTTTGATTTTTTTAATAATAATTTGTCTTTAGTGTTCTGAGATTATTAATTATGTTATAGTAATAAACAGAAAATTATCTAAATTTTTTCCTAATTAATACAGTTTTTAAAGATTAGAGGTACAAGTTAAATGGTTGTTTTTATTGTTATCAGGGGTCTGTCTAGGTTTCTCCAAGAGGAACCTATTTTGTGAAAATTGAAAATTATATTAAAAATTCAACACAAAAAAATTATAAAAATATAGATTTAATGTTTCTTACGAGACACAAAAATAAAATTTAAAGAAAAAGTACTTTGTGAAACTACCGCTTTTCCTAAAGTTGAATTTGTGAAGGTACCGCTAAATGGTAGTAAATTTGGCTTGGACAGACCCCTGGTTATTATCCATAAAGCATTTGATCTTGATTTTTTTGTGATTTTTCTTGGCTGATTGTCTTTAGAGCAAAACAATTTCATTTATTCCAATATTTTCATTTGTTTGTTTATTTATTTTATTTATTCTTTTTTGGTGATAGAAGGTAGTTTACAGTGAGTAAAATTATTTACAAACTTCTGTAATTGTTCCTGAACATTTGTAGGGTTTTAATTTTAGAAGGAGTGGAAAAATTTTCTCCATTGAAAAGATTAAAAACTCAGTTACAAAATTCGACGGGACAAGAAAGATTAACTAAGTTAGCCAAGATGAGCCTGATATAATTATTGATCTGTGTGAAATTGTGAGAAGGTTTTCAGCTAAAACACTAAATGTTTGCAATTTGTATTATAAGTAAGATTTTTATTATTTAAAAAATATGAAGTTACATCTTTGGAATTCATAAGATAAGAAAGGCTTAAAATTTTTTTAAATAAATAAGGTCGTTTTTGGTTAGATGTTCAATAACTAAAATAATGACAAATTTATATTTTATGTTGTAATTGATTACAACTGTTATTGTTAGTGAAATTGAAATTGTCTGCTTGTTAGATACCTGCTGTTACCATTTAAAATTTCAACAGCTTTATTTGTATGTATGTTTTGGATTTGAATTAAAATATAAATATGAGATTTTTCAAAAAAATTAATAATGAGTTTTTAAATAATACAATTTGTCAAAGGAATATGAATTATTCAATGGAATAAGAGTAGTATGATAATTCTATGCATATATTTGGCAAAAAGTATTTTCAAAAATTGTAGTTAATTTGTTTATTTCCAGATTGATTGCACTATTAAATTTTGATATTCTCTAAGATGAAATAGAATTTATGAAAATTACATACTTCTAGGAAAAACAAAATATCTACTTCACTAAGTTATTTTAATTTAAAAATAGATAATTTTGTTAATACAAGTATTAGTTTTTCTTATAATCATACTAATTATGTAGTGAGTAATTGCTAATTCTGTTATGTTGACAGTTTTATCTTAGGGAAGTGTATTATTACTTTTAATGATATAATTAGGGTAGCCTCCCTGTGAAGTAATCCTGGGTATGGCCTTGATTTTTTTCTATTGAAAAGTGGATAAAATTCTACTTTATAATAGTTTTTTATGCTATTTTTTTATTTATTTTCAGGGGAACCGATCTTTCATAAGAACATATAATTGTCGCTTCTGTTATCAAACTCCTGCATATGAGCATGTTTGCCAAAGAAATACTTCCTGCCATGTAGTTAGTTCTCCTCGCCAAAGATATGTTACAAAATGCTCTGTGAAGCCTCATATTTTATGTTTAGGTTAGTATAACATATCTTCTTACTCATTTCTTTAAAATATTATTATTTTCAGAATAATATTCTTTAGTTCCTTGTCTGTTATATTTTATCTTTTATTTTATTAAATACAGTAATTAATTTTCGTTATAGATCACATTTCAATTCACAAATTCATATTTGTAAACTTTTTTTTATGAATCTAAGAACATTGGACCAAGTCCAATTAAAGGGTGGGTGGGTGGGAAGGCTGAGACGAGTACATATTTTGGGCAATTGAACTAGAAGTATAGTGTTTTGAACTGTTGTACAGTATTTTGTATTGAAGATTGCATACCATTATAAAGAATTGAAAAGAATAAGTGATATTTTAGATATGGGTTATTATAGCAAACTACAATTCAACCCTGGTAATAGTCAACTGGTTGTGAATCTTTTAATAAGTCCACTATAAACCATGGTTAACTATTCTAGTAGTATTACTACAAAATTTTATTCTAGTGGTATTACTATTTTATTCTAGTAGTATTACTACAAAACTTATCTCTGTTACTACAAAAAAATATTAAAAAATAGTTTTGCAAATTAGGGGAAATCGGTACATATTATCATCTCTGCCTTTTTTGCAGAAAAAAGATTTTATCTTATGAAATTAAACCTATTTTATTTTCCGGAAATGAAATTTAAAAAAAATTTAACCTTTGAAATTTAAAGAAATTGAATTTGATGTTTCATTTTGTATTTTTAATATTACTTGAGAATATTAGTTATACTACAGAATATGCCAAAAAATTGGGGAAAATAATCTTCGTAACCATGGTAGTAAAATTATCTTAAGTAATTAAATCACTAAAGTAATATCAGAAATTATATTATAACTAGGGGGCAAAGCCATCTGTTCGCTACCGCTCACCAACCCCAATGATTGCTTCGCAATAATTGTTTTTTCTTGGCAGAAAACAGTTTTTCTACTAAAGTTAAAAATATTCACTTAACATCTATGTACTAAAAGGAATTCTGTTTACCTACAGTCTTGCGCCTCTACTTCCCACGTCCAAATATTGCTATCTATTAGTATTATAAACATTTAGATCTCTTGGTGAACAGACGTGATTTTTTTAATTATCTTTTTTTAAATAACATTTACATTCTTAATACATTATATTGTTCAAACAAATTTGATGAGTTCTCAACCATCATTTAAAATTTTCGCTAATAATAGCAGTAATGAAAAATAACTTTAAATTAGGGATAGAAAAATATTTAAAGGAAAACAATACCTTTACGACTTTTGTTAATTTTATGTTGATGACAACCTAAGCAATATGGAAATGAATGGGGGAAAACTGGATCCTACTACGTGATTTTCCGGCCAATAAAAATGCGCTGAAAGCAATGGAAAACGGTATCAGACCATTATAATTTTATGTTATATAGAGATATCAGAAATTTTCTTTGAAGTAATATTGAAAATTAAATAGATAAATCTTTATTTTTTTTACTTGTGGGAGAAGCTGTGAGTTTTCAATTGTGATATATGAATAAAATTATTTTTGATACATGAAAAAATAGTTTTGTGTAGTTTAAAAAAACCTCATTTTGTTTTACAGCTAAAACAAAGTTCATTTAGAAGTCTAAACCTGAATTGTTTAACAAAAACTATGAGTGCAAATTCTAATTTTTAGTGTTTATTTTAATTATTATTTCATTTAGTCACTTATGATTACTTATTACTTTACTTATTACTTTAGTTACCACTTGTAAACATCTTTAAAACTCAATCTCATGGATTAAAACTCAGATTCCTTAATTTTTCAGTTGTGGCGATTTGTTATCATGCAATATATTATGCAACATTTTAATCAAAATTTAAATTAAAGTGATAAAAATAAAATTTTGACAACCTGCTTGTTACCACGATTTGTTCAATTATGTAAGTATTCTGAGCTCTTAATAAATTTCTTGTTATAATTTTTTTAAGGTAATCGTGATTTCCATAAACATGTGCCTTGTAATTGGACTAAAGGTTATAGCTGGGGAACTGCATTGCTGTTAAGGTTGGTAGCATTTTTGTTTTTAAAATTTAAAATAAAATAATTTTTTTCTTGTACTATACTGCCATGCAATTAAAAAAACAACCTAAATGCTTAATGATAGATTTTGAGCAAAACAGTTGGACAACAATTTTCTTTCCTTGGCAAATACTATCAAAGCTAAAATAGAATTTCAAGAAACTAATAAAAATAGTTCAATTTTGGAAAATAATATTTTTTTGTTGCATTTTTGAGCTTATCATACAAAATACCAAACATATAAAAATCTCCATTTAGAAATTTTCATTACTTATCCTGGTTTTTCTATTGTGCAGCAGTATATATTTAAGTTGTATGAGCTTTTTATTCAATTAATATTTCTACTTGTGTACCACTTCTTCAGTTTCAAAGATAGTATACAATGCACAAAAAGAAAAAAAAATACTAAGATGTAATCCTAATGGTTAAAATATTGTTAAATTTTTATATTTTTATTTCAAGAAACAATTCAACTAACTTTGTTCAAAGTTTTAATTTTATATTTTCAACTTTGTTTAGATTACTAATCAACTTTTTCCCGATCTTTATTAAATTTAATATCCTAGAATTCTAAAATATAATAAAAAGTTGTTGTTTTTTTACGTGGTATTATCTAAATATAAATAATCAATGCAATTGTGTAAAAAAATTTTTTTAATCACTTAAGTAGTTCTAGAAATGGTGCAATACACAAAAAGCTAAATTAGGTATAGAAAGCTCTAACTTTCGACTGTTCTTTGGAGTAAACAATTAGGACTATTATATTTTCAATATTGTGGCTCTCTTCCATTTTCTCATATTTTGAGTCTAAGAGTTCAAACTTAAGAAAAAAAGAAGAGTACATTATTTTTATTTGATTTAATAACTTAAAAATGCAATTTTTCAGAAAAATTTGAAATTAATTGTATACTTCAAATTTTAACCATTAAATCATAGAGGTTGCATCTTAGTACATGAAAGTTAGAGTTAGATCATTGGTTCAAATGTTATTATAGTGTAATTTTTACTGTACAGTGTGCCATTATTTAAAAAAAAATATTATCTTCTATACTAAGTTATTGCAATTAAATTATAAGTAATCTATTAACTTTTGTAATTTGTTAAAACCTACTGTATTTTATGAAGTGCTTGGAAGTTTAAAAAACTAAATTAAGTTTGACTGCAGCTGTTTTTCAATGTTCACTATCATTTAAAAAAGATTTGTTGCAATAGAATATGTTTCTCATTTATATATTTTGTGCATTTACGATTTTGTAGATTTAATGTCTGTATAGTTTATAAAGTTCTGAAAGAAAATTTGTCACATTTAGTGCTAAAATTATTTACGACTTAACAAAATATTATTTTTTGTTGAAGTTGTTTCTATCAATATAAACGAGCCACTGTTGGCTCGTTCCAAAAACAGTTCAATTCAAAATCTTTTTTTTAAAATTATTTATATGAAAACTAAAATATTTTTGATGGGTAAAATCTATAGGTGATCAAGGGGCTTTATCGTTTTTTACTTAATACATTGGGAAGCTCTCTGATATGAAGGTTTTGGGGTTCGCTCCAAGATCTTATGACTCTCAGTTTGAAAGCAGCCAAAAAAGTTTAATCCCCCAGTTTAAATCTTAAGAGAAAAGTGAAGATGTTCCACTCTTTTGTAAACAAAATCTTCATTTCAATACTAAATATTTATCAACTCTGTACTGACTGTATTTTTTATTATAACTTTTCATCAAAATAAAAACTGATATGAATTATACATTTGGAAATCGAAAATTTGATAGGTGCATTTTAAGCTGAGTGATGAAACTAGATCCAGTAAAAATGTTCCCTGAGTTTGTAAAAGCCATGAAGTGTATTTTATTATTTTTTTACGATTTTAACTTTTCTTTTTCTTTCCTGATAGAATTATTTAAAATATTCAATAAAAGAATTATTATTAAGTAAGGAATAGTGAGGTCAGGTGGATACTATTAACTAAATTCAAAGAATTTGAAACATATTGCAAAATCTCTATGTCACAAAACTCACACATTAATGGGGGGCATAACCTCTTGATGCAGTGTTTAAAGAACTCTGAAAGTCTTGCAAATTTTAATGACAAGCAAGTGTTAATAGTCATACATATTCATATAATTAGAACAATAAAGTTGAAATATTTAAAAACTATAATGAAGGTGTCAATAAATTTTCCACCAAAGTTTGATATCTACTTAAAATAAGGAATAAAATAGGCAAAATTCTGATCCCAACTATTACATACTACAAAGTAGCACTTTATTGTTTCTTTCTCTAAAAGCTTTAAAGGAGTAAAACGTTTATCATATAAAATTATTAATATTAGATTAGAACAAATTTCTCTACTTATCTGCTGTATTTGCAACCAATCATTAGTTTTTCGAAATGGTAGACAAATCTGGAATCAGAGATTGTTTTTTTGTTTTTTTTTTTAAAAAAAAAAATTGGCGTAACTTTTAAATATAAAATAGAATAGTTGATTTTCAACTTTCACATTGGTGAAGAAACAATATTCAGCACATTCCAAAAAGAAAACTTAATTCCCAATAACTGCACTAATTTTTAAGGCCAGATTTTATGTTTGTGAATGTATAAGCAATTCTACTACCCCCAAGAAAATTTTTTGTTTCCTATGTCCTTGACATTGACTTTAATTCATATGCCTAGAAGAAAGATATTTCTTAGTTTCTAAAAAGTTATTGAATTCGTTTTTGAAAAAAATTTTTTTTAACTTGTTGGATAATATGTGTCTAATATAATGCATTATGTTTCAGCATTGTATTTGGTGGATTTGGAGTAGATCGTTTTTATTTGGGCATGTGGCAAGAAGGAATTGGAAAATTATTTAGCTTTGGTGGTCTTGGAGTTTGGACTTTAGTAGATGTAATTTTGATTGCAACTGGATATTTAGGACCTGCTGACCGTTCTTTGTACATAAGAAACTAATTGTTATTTAACCCATGTAAATAAATTGATACTTTGTATATAAATTAATTATTAATTTATTAAAGCTAATTTTTACTACTACTGAAAAAAATAATGAGATTTATTCCTCTTTGCTGTACATAACTTTGTAACAATAACTTTGCAGCCAGGAAATTTTTCCAAAAGGATCAAGATTGACTTGAACTGAAAATAGTTTTTATCTGATTTATATTTATCTTCGGTGGTATCAAAATTTTGCAGCACTCGACTCATATGTAATTATTTTTGGTTTGTTGTTGCTTTTTAAAAATATGTACATACTAAAAATCCAATTACATTTTTCGTCCAAGGATATATCTAAAACCAAATAGGTATGATAAAAAAATGACAACATGAGATTGAGCAAATATTAAGACCACCACCTCAGTGGTTTTGCATTTTCAAGGATAGATTTAAAGAGACTTTTGAAGTATTAAATAGTTTTGAAGAATTATTTGTAGCCATTTTGATGTCCAGTTCAAAATAAAATTTTATAACAAATTAACTTTCCCCAATAATTTGATTTTGCACAACTTAAAAGTTTTTGCTCTGTTAGAATGTAAGTAAAAGATTCACAATTTTAAGTGGATTTAAATTAGTAAAATTTATCTAAATAGTTTGTCACAGGAAAAAAAGCAACTGAAATTGGATTGTACATGTTACCTTTAAATTAGATCTTTGAACTTCATTTGTTGTGCCATCGTTATGTTGCATACTACTTTCATTTTATGAGTTATTTAAATTTTTGGTTTTTAGTATAATTATTTCGTCATTGTTACCAGGAGAAACAATTTCAATCTTTTTTTTCCCTATAGTTTTGCTAACCTTTTGTCTAAATTATTTTGTATAGAAAGAAAATCCAATCTAATACATAAAATTAAATTTTAATTTAAATTAAATACTTTCTTTGACAACTAAAGTCACTATAAATTGAATTAATTCTAATTTATGTCTCTTGCATTTTCATATTATTTGTACAAGTTCATATTAATTGTTTGGCTTTGGCATCACCCTAGAAATGGCAGCAAAAGATGTTGCCACAATATAAAAAAACACAGTTACTTGCTATCAGGAATGACATCAACATCATGTGATGAATGAAAGCAGCAGTAGTTGGAGCATTTTATGCTTTTAAGTTGTTAGCAAAAAAATTTTTAGATTATCAGTTAATGAATCAAAAACTCAGTTCATGGCAGGGACAACCCGATGGTCAAATCTAGTATCACTGAAAATAAATAATTGCGTTTGAGAAAATTTTTCATTCTGAATATTTAAGTAAAATTTCTGAAAATAATAACGATATAACCGTTAAAAATTTTACTTTTTTGTTATTCTTATTGATGCATCTTAGGTTTGTGTCCTTCCTTTATACAGTGAAGCAAAGATGCTCTTATTCATAAGACCAATAGTTTAATATGGAAGGGGGAAGTAAGTGTTTGATAGTAAATAGAGAATAAACTGATGACCTTTGAACAAGACATCTTGAGAAGAATTTTAGGAGTGGTAAAGAAGAAGGGAATATATAGAATATGTATAGTATCCTAATTTAGTAAAGTAAATCTTACTTTAGTAAAACTAATTGAAGTCTCACAACTAAAATGGCTAGGTCTCATGCATGGAGATAAAACCCGGTAAAAAGAATAATATTATGAAATTTAGATAGGATGCAAAGAAAAGATAGGTCACTTATGCGGTGCTTAGATAATGTTGAAAAATGGCTAAAAGGAGACAGTATTAGCAGAGGAAGCACATGGGCACATTTAAAAATGCACTCTGAAGGCTTTGGATTGCAATCAGCCATACTGTTTAAAGGAGTTGAATATATGTTTTCATATTCAAGAGAATGTCTGAGAATGCTTCTTTTGGATTTGAACAAAAAGTAATTGATTACAGATAACTTGTAACTAAGTTTAGATAGGCCATCATATTGACTTGTAGTTGTTTATCATTATTATCTGTGATAGCAGTTAAATATTAGTGGTATTAAGGTTTCAAAATGTAGTCAAGGTTGCTTATAATCTTGATTAGAATCGTAATAGTTGGTTAGAATTTATTTATTATTGCGATTGCCTGCAATCATAAGTTGCAATTAGCAATTACTTGTAATCTATTATTTTTTTGCTAACTCTGGAATTCTCTTGTTGTTTTTTCTTTGTATATAATTGTACAAAACAATTTATTAGCCCCATTGTTTAAGAACATAGGTAGATTGTTCTTAGTAGATTACTAAAAATTGAAGCAACAACTCAGTTATGTGACACATTGGAGCATTGCAATTTCTACGGAATGAATTAAATGAATTCTATGGCGAAAACATATTGAGTCTCAATTTTATGTGATGCATCTATCTAAATTACAGGAATAAAGGAATCACTTTGCTACACTTTTGAATGTAAAGGGAAGCTCATCAAAATATCTTTTTATTCAATAAAGAAATAACGGTGTAAATATTAATTTAAATAAACTGAATATTCTCTGTGTGTTTCTCCTAACCCATTGTGAAGAATAATAAAACTATAGCTGCAAAACAGGTGAAAAATTTTAAATTTCTCAGTTTTTTTTTCAGTCTCACTAACAAAATTTAAAAGTTCCAATTTTTAATAATTGTGTACTATTATATAAGTATACGCATGTTTATTATATTAGTTTTAAGAAAAATAATTTTTTGTGAATATTCGTCTTTTATTTTGTCAAAGCAAGCAAAATACACTGAATACCTGATTGTTTTTTACGTCCCTTACTGTCCCATTTTAAGCCATTACAAAAGCAATGATAAAATAAGAAATATATTTAATTTTTCAGTCTCGTAAAAAATCTATATAGGGAAGAAGTGATGTGAAGAAAATATTTTAGGCTACCAAGAGCTTAAAATCTACTTTAAAATGTTTGTTCATAACACTTCATAGCAAGTTTGTGGTACTTGGCAAGAAAATGTTGGTGTGCCTATAATATTTATATATTTTTTTGTGCACCTTGAAACAAGACATTAGAGAGAGGAAAAAGAAGGTAGATGAGCAGAAGATGTTTGATAAAACTTGGCCCAAAATATGTATTGAAGTTTTTAAATCATTTATCATTCTTTTCTTATGTATATAATCTTTTATCGTTCATTAAGAATTTTTTCTTTGATTCGTTATATTATCTGTTATTATGTGGAAAACAGCTAATTTTTGACTAAATAAAAAAAAGTATTCTTATATAAATAGTTTTTTTTAAGAAATTTAAAATACTTCAGATTCATAATTAGGAGTTTTAAGATATGAATCATTTTGATATAATTATTTACAAATTAGTTGATTTTGTTAAATTTTTAGTGTATAAATATGCGATTGCAAACTATAAATGATTGCAATAAAACAATATTCTTAAAAAAAAACGTCATAGAAATCTTCAAATAATAAAAACGGGAAATACGGGATCTTCTCAAAAGGTGGGAACAATAATGGTTACTGCAGATAATTCTGAATTCTAGTGTTATTTATTCTCTATGCGCTAAATATTTATTACTTATACAATGCAGAATTATTTCTAAAGCAATATTTGTGCAATGTAATATTATTTAAATAACACTATAACTTTTTTCCTTCGAATTTCTGGAAATAGCAGGTTATCATAAACAATAAATTTAGAGGAAATGCGTACGTTACATTTTTGGACAATCTTATATTTCCCATGTAAGAAAATGACATTTTGTAACAAAAATATTTCATAAAAACATAAAATATTTAATAACTTGAAAAAATTATTTCTAAGATTGATAAATAAGTTTGCAGTACTTTTTTGTTAACAAAATTTTTTCTTTGTTAAAATAAGTGCAATTTCATAGCGTACTTTTTTGGAAATGCATCGAAACATTTAATTCCTACCGTTTGTTAAGGATATTATCAAGTGACCGTCTTATTTAAATTTCATTTTTATTTGTTAACATCTAGACACGATTTAAAAAAAATGTTTTTTTTTTTTGGTATTAATCTGGCTTAGTTGTGGGCGAAAATTTTTAAAAAAAATTATTGATAGAGTAACTTTTGCAATTAATCATGTTAATTCATGTCACTAGACAGAATTATAAATTTATTCTAAAATTTTTACTATGAATTAAATCTAAACTTAATTGTTATCAGGGCTTAAAGTTTAAATTTCTTTTATGATGTTATCCTTTTGAGAACTGCCCATATCCTTAGTGAAGGAATTTTTGTTTTATTCATTTCATACAAACAATTTAATTACTCCGCTTAAGTATTCCACAGCACTTTATTTAATTAAGTTTAGTATTATTCTCACTCCATTAAGGTATTGTACGACACTAATGCCAATTTTTGCTTGAAACGTGGAAATTTTTTTATATATATATATACCAGAAGGGTCCACCTCCTGCCCCCTTCGCTCACTTACCTCCCGTAATTGCTTTCTCATTCATCATTGGTTTTCTCCTTCTTAAACATCGATATTTTGAACAAAAACACTACATTTTGTTTTCTACACTACATAATATATAGTATTGATCCTCGTTAAACTGTTCTACCGTAAAGTGCTCGACTTCGCGTGCAGGTTGTCGGGCTATCAAAGCGGGGGTGCCATCCCCTCTGCAGAGGATCAAAATTGTGATGGCACGGACCATTCTCAGGGATGTTTCCCAGACCGTCGCCAATATCCCATTGTCTAGTGCGACGTAAATGAACTACAACAACAACAAAATATATAATTATTATATCTTTATGTAATAACATTTTGATTATATGTTAATCGTAGCGACATAGATGATAATCTATATTTAAAAAATAATCATCTGTACTTAGAAAAAAAAAATTAATCTAAGGAATACAAATTTTGGGACTCAATGAGAAGAAATAAATATGAAGTAATTTTACTCGTTGAATGAACTTATGACAATTCAATTGGGCAACGTTTTTTTTAATCGCTCTTTATTAGGTGTTTTTTATTTTTAAAAGTTTGAATTTTTTTTTAAAAATTTACTACAAGCAATAAGATTTACATCTGACTCTCTTTTGTACAAATTTTAATTGACATCTACTCGAGCGCGAGCTTATCAAAGAAGAAATAAATTTCTGAGATAAAATTAAATTTTCTATAACAACGGAAAACCAGTCGATAAAGCAAAAATGCTTTTTTCTACCCACCTTCGTAGATACTTATTTTTATAATTTTTGCACAGCAAAAATAGTATATATATATATATATATATATATATAAAATAAAATAAATAAATGCAGGAAAACATGAAGAAAGTTAAGAAAAACAATAAGTTTCATTTATTGCGCTTAAGCTGCAAGTAAACAGCACTCATTAGATAAGTTCAAAATGAAGAATA